TTGAAGTCGCGCCCCTGCCTCCAGGGAGCAAACTGCTTGCGCCCGCAGCCCTGAGCCCTGCATTCGGCCCCTGGGCTTTTAAAGTGTCTCTCAAGCCCTACAGTCTCTTCATTTTGGGTTTCGTGTACGTTCAGTTCTTCAGTGGTCCGGCGTGCAAGGGCTGGCCAGGGTTGCAAACATTTACAAGACTAGAAGAGCGCTTCTGCAGAGCGCAGGGGACTGGACTCAAAGGCTAGTTGAACTAGCTCAGGACCCCTGCTGGGCTGTGCCCGTGGGCTGCGAAGGAAAAATGTCCCCCGAATCTGAGAAGGAAGTAGGAGAAACAAAATGAAATGCCTGTTCCCGGGCGTGTGGCTTAGTACCGAAGACGAAAGGCATGTGTTTGGGGTCTCTGAGAGCCGGCAACCTCCGAGTTCATTTTTGTCAGGCCTTTGCGGATTTCCCGGCCTGTGGGTTGGGCGAGCAAACAGTCCGGGCTGTGCCTGTTATCTCCCTGTAGCGCAAACCCGAGGCGCTGCTGCCCAGGCGCGACAGTTGTAGGCAGCGGAGAAAACCGACCGTAATTCATGCCTGGCAAGGGCAGAGCTGGCTCGCGGCAGATAAAACTCTGAGACCCGCACTCTGCTAGCAGCCTTGCCGACTCTCAACTCTCCTCCTCTCCCCCTAGCTCGGCATCCCCTCGACTCCTGAACCCTAATGTACTGGTGCTTCAGGGGGGAAAATGTCTTTGCCTAAAGACTAATTGTTCTGCATTCAGTGTCTGAGCAGCTACACTGGTTGGTGGCGTTTACCCCGCAGCCCCAAAACGCATGTTTTACTGGAGTATAGGTCGGCTGAGGTATGGCTGTGATATGGTTCCTAGATAGCTTCTTCCCGATGGACAGAAAAATCAATTTATAGAGGGATTAAAATTTAAAGGCAGCAGTTACAACCCGAGTCTCTTCGTCCAGTTGGAGGAACCTGGGGGCTAAGCCCTTCAGTACTGCGTTCATTGTAGCCCCCATTTCACCCGCTTTTCCACTGCATTTTGTGGCCTCTGCCCAGGAACCCCGCATGCATTTTTTTTTTTTTTAATGTGAGCCTCAGTGGGATCCGCCAGCAATTAGGTAGCTCCAAACAGTCTTCTTTAACAGAATGGATGCGCTATGAAAACCGATTACCCGGAACGCTTTATTTTTGTGGGAATTCACCAATCGCCAGGAGGGCAGCTAAAGGAGAGAGAAGAGGTATTTTTGTCCCTAGGTGGGGCTGGGGACTGATGGATGGACAGAAAGCCTCGTTCTGGGATCTGCTAACCTCCGGAGAGGCCCTTCCTTCCTTGCCATCACAGAACCTTCGTCGTCTTCGAGTGAGGGGCTAGGAGTCATGTTTGAGAAATTGCTTGGGAATCACTCGTTCAGGGAAGATTTCAAAGCTTTCCAAGGACAACCCCCAGAGTTGAGAACTAGGAAAATCTTAAGCCCCAGAAGGTGCAGAGGTGATAGTTAAAAAAATAAAAATGCTTCGACTTTGGAAGGACCTTGGTCAAACTGATGCAGTCCTTAGCTCTGGAACTGGTGCGGCTGAAGGAGCCCGTCCTGGAAGGTGTTTGTTGTTGTTGTTGTTGTTGTTGCTTTTGTTTTTGATTTTGATTTTTTTTCCCTTTCTCGCGAACTCCTCAACTTCGGAAGAAGGGCGCCAGTTATGCAGATTCACCCGAGAAGCTGGCAGCTAAAGCCTGTGACTTCTTGCCCCTTCCCGCCCATCCCCCACTTGCTCTGGATCCCTCTTTCTCGACCCTGCTTTCTTGTGTCTTTAAATTCGGGAGGGGTGAGGGGCCAGGATCCGCGGAAGAGGGAGCTCCCTCTTCAAATGGCGCAAATTAATGCGATCGGGACTTGAGGGCGCACTTGGGGAAGATGAAAGCGGAGGCCTGCCGGCTCCTACCAGGACTCTATAATTATAGATAATATATCTCATTTCAAAGCAATTAGACCAATCAGGCGTAACGAACCACTTTGCTGCCTACGAATAACAAAGGCGCACGGTTATTTAAGCCTGGAGATGTCAGGCAGACCCTGAGGCTCCAGGGGCCCGGACCAAGGTCCTCCACCCCAGCTCGGCCCACCGCGGTACGGGAAGGATTCCCCCGAATTCCTCTAGCTCTGTCCGCCGACTAAGCACCTCTCCCGGCTCTAGCCCCTGGCCTCGGGGATATGGGCTGGGGGGGAAGGGGAACGGGAAAAACTTTTGACCTTTGATCAGAAGATTCAAAAAATTTAGCTAACTTAATCCTTTCTGCTCTGGGACTTCGAAAATATACCTCCCTAGTCAGGCTGAAAAGGGAGAGTTAGAGAGAAAAGCGCTTGCTAAGGGTTACACAGCTAGCTAGCAGTGCGGTTGTTGCTAGTAGCTCTGAAGCACTCAAACCCCCGCCTTGCCTTTTTCATTACGAGGAATAGCCTCACTAGGGCCTCTCCAAAACTGCATCGATATTCGGGGGTGGTGGGGGTGAGGGGGCGCTGAGGAACTGGATGGATCCGCCCCAAGTCCGGCCCAGACAGGGAGGGAAGATCTTTCATCCTGCAGTTACTAACCTCTCTGCGGATTGCCTTGTCTTTGCCCTCCCTCTTAAGAAGTCCAGGACACTGTCGAGGTTCCTGAATTATGTCTTAAATGCCCAGGCTCTTGGGTCTTTTTGAGAAGAAAACAGGCCTGGGTACAGGTTTGTTTGTTTGTTTGTTTGTTTGTTTATTTTTCTGAGGTTTGGTCCTCCAGCTTGAAGGTGGAGACAGGGCAGAAGCACAGCAGGGAGCAATTCTTGTTCTTAGGAATCCTGACAAAAGACATCAATGAGGGGCTGGAGAGATTGCTTAGCACTTAAGAAACCTGGTTGACCTTGCAGAGGACCCAGGGTTAGTTCCCAGCACCCACATGGCAGCTCACAACCCTCAGTAACTCCAGTTCCAGGGAAATCCATTGAATTTATCTGCCCTACTCAGGCACCAGACACATACACAGGGCAGTTACACACATGCATGCAGACATTAAACATATCTAAGGTTAACACATTAAAAATAATGTCTGTTTTAACAAAATGCAGAGAGCACCTGGAGGTGCTCAAGGCCAGACTGCGGATGGCATCCAGAGCTTGAGACAATCTAGTTGAGTGAATTGGAAGGCAATTGGGGATGCTGAGGGGCTTAGAACTAGGATAGAAGAGCCCAGGAGGCTATGCCACCCAGGCGTGGACCACCACAGCAGGTGGGATACAAGGGACCAACATCAGCCTATATGACTGGTCAGAGAGTGGGAGCCAGCCATTTGAAACTTCAGCACTCACTGTAGTGAGCAGGGGCAGGTTAACCCATTTTCTTCCCACTCTCTCTGCCTGGTGAGCCCCAGAGTTTGATACCCTTCCAGTCTTGGCCCAACTCTGAGAATCTGTCTCTGAGTCTCTGAGCTGGTAGCATGACCCCCTGTGGAGACACAGGCTCCAAGTCTGGCTTCCTTTCTTATTTTCCCTGGCTGTTGGTTTACTTTTCCTGCAGCTTCTCTATTGCTTTCCCCAGCCTCTTACACTCTGTCCTCACCCAGTGATTCAGTCTGAATCACACCCTTCAAGTCCCCAAGAAGCTAATTTGATTCCAGCTAGTTCTTTCTGGAGGAAGCTGGTGACTTCTGAAAGACCAGCAGTCAGCCTCCTGGATCGGCTAATCCTTCTGCTCCCCCCACCACCACCACCACTGGCTTCCAGTCTCTGAACCTCCATTTCCACTATGAAATCATGGACCACATATGTGCTTTCCTGTAGGGTCCTCCCAGAGACCCAAAAAGGTGACAAAGACCATGATAGGTGGGAAATTCCTTCTAGCAGGTGAGTTCATGACCCTACTGTCTCAGAAGCCCTGGCTAAAAAATAGCTGGAGATTGTAGAACATTTGGAAAGGTGGCAAGGGTGACAGGAATTGACAAGACAGCAGGTAGTGTCTTTCAGGAGAGGCTGATGTGCATGCCCAGGACAGGCACTAGGGCTAGATTCTAGCTGTCCCCTCTGGGCCAGTCCCTCCTGCTGACAGTTTCTATCCTCATGCCTCTAGCCCTTCAGACTTCTGGGTCCAGGAAAGAAAGCCACCTCATGGGCACTGTGCATGGCTCTCCTGGGGCCTTTGCCATCCTTGGACCAAATGAAGGGTTTTTCATGCCTCCTCAAGAGCCTTCCTGGGTCAACCACAGGAGCCTGTGGCTGGAAGCCTCCCTATGCAGTAGGCATTTCATGAACAGTCAGAAAATGAATAGCAAATGAATAGAATTTGGAGAAGCAGCAGACAACTGAGCCTAGTGGTCTGCAAGATGTAGTGGGTGAGTCCCTTGTCCCATCCCTGGAAGGTCTTGTCCACAGGTTTTCCAGAATAGCACCAGTCTGCCCCTCAACTTGAGGTGGTTCTGAGCAAAGGGTCCTGTCATCTCAGGAAGATGGGAGTGCTTTGTGACTTTTGCTTTTCCCAGGTGAGCCCATCAGCCACAAAAGTGGTCTAGGTGAAGAGATTGCTGGGAGAAATGGGAATGCTCACTGGCTATCCTGCCCAGGCTTCTCTTTAGGTTGTGGGTGGGATGGGCAGGGAGGGCTCAGTAGAAATTTAGTTCCACTCCCATTTTCCGTGAACATTGAAATCCAGTCTCAAGCAACACTCATTTTCCCAGGTCTCTGAGCCATAAAGTGGCAGAAGCTGTTAAAATGCGGGTGGAGCGGGCCCACCCCCCCCCCCCCGCCCCGCAAATCTGTGTTCTCCTCAACTCAGGAAAGTTCAAGAAACCTGGGCCGTCTTATGTTTCTCTAAGCCAGGCGGTTCTGGGGCAGCTAAGAAGCAAGGAGGATCTCAGCGCGGTACCCTGAAGCACTGACTGGCAGGGTCAGAGCCCCTGGGAGGCTGAGCAGCCAACAGAACTGGAGTCTTTGAACTAAGGGTGGCAGGGATCTGCTTCCACCTAGCACCCACTACCAGCTGGGTGATTTCTTATGTATTTCCACAGATGACTTCTTCAGAGGACCTGACCTTCAGATGGGAGCCGGGTGATCTTGGAGTTGAAGCGGGATTACAGCCTTCCACCCTTCCACCCTTGTAGCGGGAACCAGCAACCAGAGTTCCTGGCAGCTGCTCTCCACAGGCAGCGACTCAGCTGTTCTCTTCCCAGCTCTGCCTAGGCACATAGGTGGGGAAGGGGGCCCTGGGGAGTTGCAACAGCCGGCAGCCATGGTTAAGTTGGTCTCCCCCAGCCCAAAGCGTGTTTGGGAAAAAAGAGAGGCAGGTAGGGCTTCTCTAGTCTGGCTGATCCTAGTGCACAGACAAGGAGGGACCCTAGTTCTCAGATACTGCCCCAAGGCCAGCTTCAGAGTCGTGAGCTTTGGATAAATGGTCAGATCTCAGTAGCCCAGTTGCATTGGCCTAATAGGTCTTTTTCTGGGTGGCTGTATGAAGCCCACTTGGAGAGTTAGGCAGGAGGACCAGGAGCTCAAGGCTAGCTTGGGATCCTGTTTCAAAAACCACAAAACAAACAAAAAACCAAGCAAAGAATAGCTACCACCATTGCCAATACTATTAACATGTTTTAACTAGTTCATCTTCAATAGTGACTATTTTTGTCCCTACTTCACACACAGAGGGGAAAAATTAAATAGTTCATGGTATCAATAGAACTTCAAAACAAAACACTCTAAGAAGTCTCCCAGAACCCCAGGGGGTCTGAGTTCATCACTGCAGGGGTGCACTCCGCTTTGGAGTGCACACTGGCCAAGAAGTCTGGGAGTCTGGTTTTGTGATGAAGGTGTTCTAGACTGTGTCAGGTGGCCAGCAATAGACTCCCCACCCCCACCCCACCCCCCCCCCCCCCCCATCAAATATTTTTATTTTGTATGCCCAGGCTGGCCTCAAATCCTAAATGTCCCTGCCTTATTCACTTCAGTGAGTGAATATGTGTGCAGGATCATGTCAAGCCAAATTTCTGATTCTCCGTGTGTGAACACACACACACACACACACACACACACACACACACACACGTATTCCAGGCTGGCCTTTATCTTTCCATGTAGCTGAGGTGGTGAATCCTTGAAATCCTGGTCCTCCTGTTTCCACATCCCAAGTGCTGGGATTACAGATGTGTGGGTACCACAGTTCACGGTTTATGCATTGCTGGCAATGGAACCTGGACCTTCCTGCGTCCTAGGCAAGCACTCTACCCCCTGAGCTACAGCCCCAGGGCCCATTTTTTTTTAATTTTTAGATTAAAAAATGTATTTGTGTGAGTGTTCTGCCTGCATGTATATCTGTGCACCATTTGTGTGCCTTGTGCCTTGTGCCTGTGGAGGTCAGACGAAAACATCCATACCCTGGAGCTGGAGTTATGGATGGTTGTAAATAGCTGGGTGCTGGGAATTAAACTTGGGTCTTCTGCAAGAACAAGAAGTGCTCTTAACCAGTGATCCATCTCTCCAGCCCCCACAAATATTTTTTCTTTTTCTCTTTTTGGCTTTCATTTTCTTTTTGGAGACAAAGTCTCACTACATAGCTCTGGCTGCCCTGGCACACACTCTGTAGACCAGGCTGGTCTTGAACTCACAGAGATCTGCCTGCTTTCTGCCTCCTGAGTGCTGGGATTAAAGGCATGGGCCACAACAAAGGGTCACAAATGTTTCTTGAATGGTTTTTTGAAGAGAAAGCTGAAGCTGTCCCTCCTAGGATGCTTGCTCCTGTCTGTGAACTTGAATCTGAGTTCTTACCCAGCAAGAGAGGAGGAAGCCCTGGTGGTTAGACTGTGCCTTTCATACAGGCCCAGTGGCTGTCCCTGCCATACTGGCCACTAACTCCTGAAGTGCCTACCAGGTCTTTCTTTGTGTATACCTAGAAACAGACAGTGGAGACTGGTGGGCAAGCCAGAGAAGTCAGGACCTAGTGGGACCTGGAGCATTTCTAGAAGGATTCAATCACAGCAGCTTCCTCTCCTGGTGTTCCCAATTCAGCAAGAAGCAGGATCCAGCAGGGCCCCTCCCTTCAGGGGTACCACAGCCCCTTTGTCTTCTCTGTCCTGCCAGGGCTACAGAATACCCACCTGATGGCCACACAGCCCATCCCTGCTGAGACTCCAATCTGATCAAATGGTGAGCCCCTGGCCACAGTCCAATTAAGTGAAAGTAAATCCAGCCTTATCGGGTTCAAGAGGTAGTCCCTGGGGTGGTCCTGAGGTGGCCCCGAAGGGTCCCTGTCTGTTTGATTTTCCTGCTCAGACACACTTATTTAAACAGACCCCCAGGGTTTTCAGTAACCAGAGCCAGGTCTGGAGTGTGATTGCCAGGTAAGGGAGGCCCTCAGAAAGATGCCGCCTGGGAGGGGGGCAGTGAAAGGAGAAAGGAGGGAAGGGGGTTAGAGGAAGAGGAGAGTGAAGAAGTCACCTTCAGAATGCAGAGGATTCCCTGGACTTTTCTCAGTGGGTTCAAATCTTGGCCTCAACCGTTTAGGTTTGTATCCTCTGAGAAAGTTGCTGAGCTTCTTAACTGTGACCAGGGTCAAGCCCAGGAGATGCACTGATGCTGGGGTTCAAGAAGGAGACCCACAGTGCTCTCCGAGAGGAGTCACATGGGGCTAGCCAGGGACCTTTGTATCAACTGAGCCTGGGGGCGGTTCCTGCCTCCTGGGAGGTAAACTGAGGTAAGATGGACATGCTCTCTCCCCACCTGCTACTCCAAACCAACCCACTTCTTACACAGCACCTCTCCAGTGTGGTCATGTGTGCATAAAACCCTCTAAAAATGTTTCCTCATTCCTAGTTCTAACCTGCGACCCACCCTCCCCTCCTCTCCCCCTCTTCCTTCAGTGCCACTGTCACATTTGATTCTTCCTTCCCACCCAATAGCTTGGGGGTTCCTTCCTGCTCTAAGATCACCCACGAGCTGTTCCTCAGAAACCCCACTGCCTCAGATAGCCTCCAGTTTCCTCACTTCCTTTGGGGCCTCTGCTCTTCAGGGTTGCTTCTCCAAGAAGGGTTCCCTTACCTTCTAGAACACAGATGTTGATCCTAGCAACCCCTCCTGTACCTGTTTTATTTTCATGGATGCCAGTGACATTGAATTGCTGTTATTTATCACTCTCTTTGGAGCTTCAGCCCCCTCAAGAGTTCCATTCAGCTGAGGCTGTCTCCCCACTTAGCACCAAGCTCTGCACTCAGTAGATGCTCAATAAAGAGCTTCAAATGCTTGAATTCATTCCCCACACACTGTGACTTTAGAAATGTTGCCAAACTCTTTATGTGTGTGCTTTGTCTTCTGACAAGGCAGGGCTATGCAGTCACTCCACATTCTACCACTGTGAGGTGTAAGCTAGAGCAGGCTTGGGAAGAGGCCTGTGTATGACCTGGCATTGAGGAAGCCTGTAGGCCATGGTTGTTTGTTCTAAGAGGACAGTGGACCTTTCAGGAAGCTGTTTTTAAGAAGAGTGAGGTAACCACAACAGCCTCATGTCTGAGTCTTTCTGGCATATCAAGGGATCCCACCCCAAATTCACCCTTGCCTCTCAATGACCCTCCACACTGATTAGCTGTCCTGGTCTTCTTAGGGGTAAAAGAACAAAGGTCAAGAGAGTCACAAGGTTAGGGAACCCCTTTACATTCCTGCTTGGTTTTTTGTTGTTTGTTTTTTCACCCTCTGAGACAGGTTTTCTCTGTGTAGCCCTGGCAGAACTGGAATTCACTCTGTAGACCTGGCTAGCCTTGAACTCACAGAGATCTGCCTACCTCTCTGCGCCTCTGCCTCTCTGCCTCTCTGCGCCTCTGCCTCTGCGTCTGCCTCTGCCTCTGCCTCTCAAGTGCTGGAATTGAAGGCATGTGCCACCACTGCCCAGCCACGTTCCTGTTCTAACTAGTCCAGTGGCTGCTTGGCTGTGGCTGATGCCACTCAACCTTACCCAGGTGCACTCTTTTGGGAGGATGGCTTTATGACAGAGGCCATGAAGATTCCCTCAGGAAGGATCACATGGGAGGAGTAAGCCTGAAGGAATGAGAGCTAGGCTAGGCTGAGTGAGGGGCAAGACAGAAGATGGGGGTAGGAGCAGAGGTGTAGAGGTTTGTGTGACAAGGGGCAGAGTGGGGGTTGTGTCATTTCATCACCACTTTAAAAGACAAATGTGGAAGGCGGCTTTGGCCTGACATTCAGACTTCATCCCAATACAAGGTCTGTAGTGATGATAGGAGACAGATGTGATGGTGGCTCTGAGTTTAGAAGCTCCTTATTTTCTGGACTATGTGGAGATCCCTCATTATCCCACCCAACTGAAGAGATAACAGACCCGGGAGGCCACAGTCCATGGAGAGGTGCAAAGGACAATGTTAGCTGCCGACAGGAGACATGGATCTGTACAGAAGCGCTCTGGAATCCCTAGCTGCTCTGTCTCAGGGAACAAATAAAGAGAGATTGAAAAAACACTGTAAAGGCTATCAGAGCACCCTGTGTGTCTCTGTCCTAGTGATGTCACGCACACACTAGGCGAGTTCTTCATGGAAACCTCCATTTTCTACTGGACACAGGCCTCGATGGTAGAATCAGGCCCCCCAGTGAGAACTGAAAGTCAGTGCTTGTAACTATGCCGTGGAATACATAATCCCATCAACCATGGTGTGTTTCCCTGCCAGGCTGCCGTTTTCCCTCCATCTCTAATTCACCTCTAACATTGGGGTGGCCCTCATGGTCCCCTATCCCTGGGAAAATGAACTGAGCTTATAGAAGGTGCAGAAGGTGGTTTCATTCAGGTAGCATCTCTGCTGAGTACCCCAGCCTTGCCATAAAGAACTCTGAGTTGAAGCTGTGCATGCGCAAACGCACGTGTGTGTGTGTGTGTGTGTGTGTGTGTGTGTGTGTGTGTGTGTGTGTGTGTGTTTGTGTGTGTACATGCACACAGGCACAGGTGCACCTGAATGACATTCATGCACATGCTCAGGGACAATCTTGGGTGTTGTTGCTATGGATCTATCTGCTTTTTTGAGATACATTCTATCCCTGGCCTGGAGCTCACCAAGTAGTCTAGGCTAGTGGTTGTCCCAATAACAAGTGTGTGCCACCACACTTGGCTTTCTCATATAGGCTCTGGGGATGGAACTCAGGTCCTTGTGCTTGTATGGTAAACAGTTTACCAGCTAAGCCATCTCTCCTGACCCAGGAGCTATACTGTTAAAGGCATCTTTGACTCCTAGGTCACCTGGGACAGGCTCCCCAAACTGGACAGTTTAAAGCAACAGAAATGGATCTTTTCATAGTCCGAGAGGCTGACAATCAGAACCAAGGCTTAAGCAGGCCTGCGCTCTCTCTGAGACCCTGTGTACAACCGTTCTTCTTTGCCTGACCTTAGGGGTAGCCCTGTCCTTGGAAACCTTTGGCTCTTAGCTGCACTACTCCAGCCTTTGCCTGTTTCCATGGTGTCCTCTGTGACTCTGTCCAAGTTTCTTCTTGGAAGGACACTGGTTGTCCTGGATTAAGCCCCTCTCTACTCCATGATCTCATATTAAATGGTTTACTTCGGCAGACCATATTTCTATAGAGGGGCACATCTTCCAGTAACAGGGTGTGGCATGCCTTACATGTCTTTTGGAGGGAACACAATTAGACCCACAACAGGCCATAGGTGTGTCCTCTTGGTCCTTGTAGGGGGTTCTGTGGTGTGGTTGGACACCCATGCTGCAGAGAGCAAAAGAGTAATGCTGCATGCCTGGAGATGACATGATATGCCCCCTTCCTTCCACCAGGACTTCATCCAGTAGAGCATGCTTGCTGGGCCATCATCACGGCTCTGTGTGTTACA